ATTTCTACTGTATCACTGACTACTAGCGAACAACTGCACACAGTCTCATTAGGCCGTGGATTCAATATATGATAGAACTCATTTCTACTGTATCACTGACTACCAGTGAATAACTGCACACAGTCTCATTAGGCCGTGGATTCAATGTAGAACTAATTTCTACTGTATCACTGACTACCAGTGAATAACTGCACACAGTTACGTTATTCCGTGGATTCACTCGAAACCTAATTTCTACTGTATCACTGACTACCAGTGAATAACTGTACACAGTTTCGTTGTTCTGTGGATTCACTGTAGAACTCATTGCTATTGTACCAAATGATATCTTAACTAAACACTTTTATATCGTAAATAAGCTCAGTTTACAATTAAAATGTAGAAAGAAAAAAAAACTACAGTAATTTTTGGCCTAAGTTAATTTAGATCAGGCCATTATAATTTAATTTTAAATTCATAATATAATTGTAATTTCGTGTTAGTTGTTATTATGCCTCTATACAGCTAAGAAAGATACGATGTTTTCTGTTATGTGTTCCAGAATTTGTCACATTTTTCTACAGGTTTGAGAGCCTATGCTAAAATATCTAGAAAAAGTACTGTACAATTGGCTCACGATTTCCGGAAGAACCTGTTCCTACAGGTTTGAAATAAAACCACCTTTCCTCTATTGAGAACTGTGTTTTTATATTGTTTAAGCTTATGGTGCAACCTAAGAGAAATAAATGATAGTATCTTATTTTGAATAGACTTTCAACGCCTGTATGGAACATGTAATGAGGCACGACAATGTAATGCCGGCAAATTCCTCTCTTCGTCATAATTTCTTTCTACGTTTACCATTTTGGCTCTTTTGCGGTAGGTTTTAGTTATAAGACTTTCAGCAAATCTTCCAGAAATGCGGAATGTAAAAAAAAACAACAACAACAAAAACCATCAAGGACTCCACATTCTCCAAATACTCCTGTCCTCTAGAGTCCTCTCTCTCACTACGCAGATTACATCGCTTTAGATCATACGTTCTAACATTGCATCTAGCAGTATACAAAACGGACCCCATACTCTAGCCGAATTGTGTTACGCATGGCGGACTTCCGAACAACCTACGGCCACGGTTTTATCAAAGTTGACTCTCTAGGGACCTAGAATCGTTTACTTCTACACGCCTAGTTCACAGCTGCATGTCCGCTGAGCCAAAACTATTTCTCTAGAAAAATAAATAAAATAGGAAGGTTTTCTGCAACGGAAATCAGTCATTTTGCCCGAGTGAATCTGCATATTAAAATAATGTATTCAGAGTAAACCACACGGAATGATTCCAAAATCCTTTACACATACCTAACCTTTTAGATCTAAAAACTGGTAGAATATCGTCAAGTGTAAAAAGTGCCGCATTGAAGTGGAAAACGTTGAAACACTTTAACTAATTTTTTATCTCACTCCCACACAAATGATGCTATTATTCCCACCACAACATGACAGAGTTTATTAAAGTGTTTTTAAGATAAGGAATATGATAATTAAATATTAAAACATATATGGTAGCTAGTCACAAAAACTTCACACATCCAAATAATAAAACTTTAAAAGTGCTTTGACTTGCTGACTATACAGAGGTGCTGCTTTCCAACCTCACAAAAGTTCCAACCAGTGTGCACAGATGTATGAGATAATTCATCTTCTCGCAGCTATTGCCTTTCTAGATTTTATAAACCGTATAATTTACATTTTCTTCTCTCTTTTTTGAATAACTGTCAAAACATTTGTTGTTCAATATATAGATTGTAATAAGTTGTGAAAAAAAATCTCTGGCGTGTATAGTTAGTTTATCAGCTTCTCACACCATGACTGTAGCTGTTTATCGGCTTCTCACACCATGGTTGTAGCTGTTTATCAGCTTCTCACACCATGGTTGTAGCTGTTTATCAGCTTCTCACACCATGACTGTAGCTGTTTATCAGCTTCTCGCACCATGGTTGTAGCTGTTTATCAGCTTCTCGCACCATGGTTGGAGTTGTTTATCAGCTTCTCACACCATGACTGTAGCTGTAAGCAGCTCGTGTATAGTTAGTTTATCAGCTTCTCACACCATGACTGTAGCTGTAAGCAGCTCGTGTATAGTTAGTTTATCAGCTTCTCACACCATGACTGTAGCTGTAAGCAGCTCGTGTATAGTTAGTTTATCAGCTTCTCACACCATGACTGAAGCTGTAAGTAGCTTTTATTTATTTATTGCAAACTGTTTTTTTAGTTGTTGTTGATGTTTTGCATAGTTTCTCCAGAAGGCAGTGGTATAGCTAGGGATTGGTTTCTAGATTAACAAGTTCTAATAGAAACGGTTTGACACACAATCCAGTTAGTGCATCTCGTAATAAACATAATATTAATAGTAGGTAAATACACAATTCTGTGTAAAGTAATTTAAAGTAAAGTTTAAATCCACATATCAAAACAATACCAAATTTATATGGATACAAGTTTAGACAGTTTTACGTGGATTGAAGAGGACACGTGAAAATACCGTTAATACTTAAGTTATGATAAATCTCAAATAATTCCGGCCTGAATTCAATAGAACCTAGACTTCAATTCTCTGTTCTATTCTTTTTTCTACTTTTTTTTGATGGTGAAGGAACAGACTATTTTGGAAGTTTAGGAAACGATCGTTAATATTTTAACTTTTGGAAAACAAGACAGAAATAGTTTTGTTCACCATTACAAAAACTCTTTGTGGCCTACATATTAATATAATAGCGAATTTTAAGGTGATTACTAGCGATTCAACACCGAGTACAAATACGTCCAGAGCTTATCTATACACTTTACTACCCAACGTATTATCAGGTGTAACCATGGGCAGACGCAATAATGGCATTTCGTCTCTGTGATATGAAGCAACTGTAAGAGAGTGTTTTGTTAGGCCTTCTCATCTCTTGAGGGTTATGCCTTCCTTTTTTCCACACTCTACCCTCACTGCACAAACAGAGAACAACCCTCTTCGTCAGTGTGGCAGAATGACTAATATTCACTCCAACCCACAGGTCACTCAGAAAAAGATCACACCCACTTGCGGCTCCAGCTTCTCGAATATGACATTAACATGAGTTATTTGGTATTTGGAAGTACGGGACAATCTAAAATAGCTGTTATTTAGACTTTACTCAGGCGTAGTCGAAACCTAACCCCGTTAAGGATCACATCTGGTGAAACAGTATCTCTACGATACCAAAAGCCGATATGCATTAGTTTTGTGTTGTTTTTTATTCAGGTAGGACTAACTACGAAACATAATGATAAACTAGCATAAATAACTAACAATTTGGAGAGAGAAAAAAAACCGAAACAAAAAATTTAAAATGTGTTTCTTTTTGGATAAGAATGACTGAAATAAATGATTACATTCACAATTTTGAATATTTCGTCTTGAGTTTTTAAAGGGACATTTAAATCACACACTTCATTCGTTGTTAGATACTGAGTGTTTTATACGTTATCTACTTATATTTTCCCCAAAGTGGGCCGAATGTCGTTTGGAGTGGTTCCCTGTTTTAACCACTCTCACCACTATACAGTAGTGTGTTGTCTATTACTCAGTCAGTAGACACTAAGATGACGTCACATAAAGGAAGTTTAACATTGCAGTTTGTCAGTAAAACGTGCGCATGCCATGAATCACGAGAATAATTATGCACTCTGTAGGCTACAACACAGCATGGCGTATAAACTTCAAAAGTAAGAAATAAAAATATTTGTTACACTCAAATTTGGTTTTATTTACTCTTGAAACAGGACACTTTCTGGGACTCTTGCGGAAGTACACCGTGTGAATGTAAGATACTGACTTTAGTATGAATACCGTGGAAAAATTATAGCTTCAATTAAAATGAATTTACCTTTTCTGATTGCACTTCACTGAGAATATTAGGAATTATTGCGACGTTCTTTTAGTTCGTTAAAAAGAAACCTCATTCTTCTTTGTTTTAACAAATCCGCGTACAGACATCCTCTCATACCGAAATGTTTCATCATTCTGATTGTATTTTCATGTTTCAATACAAAAATATTGTATTTTTGTTTTAAGCAAAGTTTGCACAATGATTTTAAAAGCACTGTGCATACCACAGGAATCGAGGACCGACTTTTAGTGTAATAAGCCCTAAAACTTGTCGCTGAGCTACCTATGGCTCAATAAATAGAAGCAAGCTACGGTACTTCTTGCACATAATTGGATAAATGGTATTACAATGCCGTTCTCCAGAAATCAGACTTTCTCCATGCTATTGAGTTGTGTGTTGTCTATCACTCAGTCGGTAGACACTAAAATGACGTCACATAAAGGACTAAAAAAAAACCCTTGTCTATTATGATCCTTCGTGCGAGACTTAAGACTAACGAAGATAACGTTACAATACACTCGACTTAAGTTGTGTTTATGTGAGATTTCAAGAGTAAAAGTATTTATTTTCAGATGTATAGGCAACTAACGAACATCTAAATGACTTGACATTGATATTCGTAAATAATCCTAAATAGACATACAGGGCCAAAAGCTTTGTCGTATTTTTGTCCTCCAAAAAATTACTCAGCACTCAAATTACTGGCGAAACTAAGATATTGCATCATATTGAATAATTTTATGTTTCTGCTTCTCGCAACGCTCATTATAAGGAATTGTCCAAAAATAATCACCTATTTTCTATGTAAAATACACAGTAGACCCAGTACTAGTCAGTGGCTATTTTCTATGTAAAATACACAGTAGACCCAGTAGTAGTCAGTGGCTATTTTCTATGTAAAATACACAGTAGACTCCAGTAGAAGTCAGTGGGATTAATTGCAATATTGACGGTATTTTCTATTTAAATGTGTACGTGTGTGTGACTTATGTTATCAAGGCCCCTGTAGGTTACGGACGCGCAAGTAACTTGTTGTAAAGATAGTTTAAAAAAAAATGGTTACAAAGCGTCCATCGGTAATTCTAGTATTAGAAATATTTTTACCTTTGGTGGTCGTCCTCAAAAGTAACTTGAAGTTTTTCTCTTATTTGTTGTCGTACTTTTGCATCTGGAAAATAAACAGCAAACTCTGATGAAACCACTTCAGCACGATGTTGTAAAATAAATTTGGAAAATAATCGTTATTTAATCAGATGAGATACAAATCAATATAATTTCTATCGAGAAGATCTATTTTGAAATCTGCGTTTGTTGACAACCTTAATAAATGTTGCGTTGCTAGCATTAGATAAAGCCGAACATGAAATAAGACTTGAAAATATAAAGGACCATTATCACATAAATTTATGTCACCAAATGTTAATGACCGCATTACAAGTGCGACAAAGTACTTTAATGATATTAAAACAAGGAGGTAATAAAAACTACAGAAATCAGATAAACTCTGCAGTATGAACGCTACATCATTTAAATAAATTATGTCCCCTTTTAATTTATCGAAATAACTTTGCTTAATGAAGGAATGGTGGACAATTATCGTGTGTAGTTTATTTTTAGATTTTAATTTATCTTGCTGTCGAACTTAGTAATTTAGCTGGAAAGAAAATGGAAAGAGCATGTTCAAGCACAGCAGGCAAGAAGTCACGTGAGGGTAAACAATCGCCACAGGGGACCACCAGGGGACGCAGCGGGTGCAGGAAGGTTCGAGTAAAGATGATACCAAGGTCAGCCATGTTAGGGCTAGCGGTCGACAACCGCATGGTTCCTTGATTACGTGAGCACATTTAATTGCATAATAACTTGTTATTAGACCCCTACACCCTTATTCACCTTCCTCCAGTTGCAATGAGCTAAAAATTGGATGAATCACAGATATAATTGACTAACCGACAGAGTGGTTGTAATTGTTTTGTTCTTTATGCTTCTTTCTTTGAAGGAAATTGAAGAGTTAAATCCTCCCATGAGCTTCAAGTTGAATTTGTTTGTATGTTAACTAACGTCACGCTATGAGCTGGCAAATGTATGAGGGATTTCGAACGTTTCTTATTGCACTTAACTAGCTTAGATTTTCTTTACGCTGTTCTTCCTATAGCATATACAAAACATGTCTCAATTAGAAGTATGATAAGATGCCATAACTTTGTTTAGATATGTTTCATTCAACTTCACAAAATTATTTTCAGTGCAGAAATCTCATTTACCAGTTTCACTACCATTGGATATAATAATTGGTGGTTAAATAATTACCTCAAATATGTAATATATGGTGGTTAAATAATTACCTCAAATATGTAATATATGGTGGTTAAATAATTACCTCAAATATGTAATATATGGTGGTTAAATAATTACCTCAAATATGTAATATATGGTGGTATTACATATTTGAGGTAATTATTTAACCACCATATATTACATATTTGAGGTAATTATTTAACCACCATATATTATATATTTGAGGTAATTATTTAAACCTATTCCATTTAGTTTCCTTAAATCTTACTGGTGATAATGTTTAGAATAGCCGTGAAGTATAATTACACTTATGAAAGTCGATTTCCGTATACTGGCCTAGGATGAATCCAGATCCATCTCAGATGTCTGAGATCCATGTGATATTATTAGGATTACGATCTCATCAGCAGCGTCTATTATGTTTTTCTTTCTATAAATCCATTAAAATGGAGGCCCAGCATGGCCAGGTGGTTAAGGCGCTCGACTCGCACTCTGTGGTTCGACGGTTCGAATCTCCGTCACACCAAACATGCTCGCTCTTTCAGCCGTGGGAGCATTATGATGTGACTATTCGTTTGTAGAAAAGGAGCTCAAGAGTTGGCGGTGGGCGGTGATGACTAGCTGCCTTCCCTCTAAGTCTTTTACTGCTAAATTAGGAACGGCTAGCGCAGATAGCCCTCGTGTAGCTTTGCGCGAAATCCATAACAAACAAAATTTATTAAAAATTATTATCTATCTCATCGTGATATCAGGTCACAAAACACTGATGTGTAAATTTGTTAGAAGGTGACTTATCCAAATTATGCATGTAATATTGATTCTGTTAGTACGATTATTGCAATTGAGAAAGTACTTCATCATAAACATATATAGTTTTCTGGTGTATTGATTTATAACATTAAGACTTCTGGTAAGTTTATTACGTACGATTATCTTCAGTAATGTATATCTTATTTTAAATGACGTTTGTAGCATTTACTTTTTATAAGAGTTCTTGATAATACGTTAGGTTTCTCATCAAATATATAGAAACAACGATGCAATGAAGAGACGCAGTACTTTCGTACTATAGGAACAACAATAAAAGCAAACTTTTGGAAATTTATCTAACCTATATCCTTTTTTTTTCAAACATACAACTGATATCACGCTCCCCTTACACCCACTCTCTATACGAGGCATAGAAACGGCAAGAGTAGAATTTTTCTGCTCTTACATTCTGGTACACTGCCACCTGTTGTAAAAAAAGTATTTTCATGAAATTCCTAGTAATAAATGTTTTGGACCTAAACATAAAGGTATTTATGGATGATGTACTTAAATGGTCATTTAAAAATAAGACATATATCAGTGAAGATAATCGTAATACGAGACTTTGCGGTAGGGAGTAGTAGGGGGTGCATAAAATATTTTATTAGTCAAAAGACAACCCTATCGTTTTTATGCGTGCGCAGTCACGTGTGGTCTCATTTGTTGAATTTTATCTAATGCCCTGGAATACCAGTAGGTGGCTCTACCCACGAAGAAAGAGACACCAAAACAGACTTACGTTATACCATCTCGTTCTCTGTAATTGAGGGTCGCAAGTGAACAGTGCCGACCTCAAAAACTACGTGAAAGCGCCTATAGAGAACGGAAAAAGGAGAGGCGAAACCCTCCTCTGTACACAAACGTCAGAACATTAAATAGAATTGTCGGCGAGACCTCCTCACTAACTAAGGTTTCCCAGCACAGGCAAAACATTTTTATACCCCCTCCCCCTGCTTGTGTTGTGGTCATAACCTGTCAGCTCGCCCTGTAGTTCATGTTTTCACCGTTGTTCGCTGTTGTGGCAGGTGTGTCTGATCTTGTGAGGCTTACAACTTCGACTTTTTTGTTGTTGTTATTTCTACCCTCTTCTCTTCGCTTTATGCCAGGAAAGAAAATACTCGATTCGATATGCGTGACTTTTAACCGAACTTGGAGTCCCGGCTATTTGGAGCCTAGGGCGGAGAGAGATTGGACGTGCGCCGCCGTTACAGAAACCATGGGCGATCTTAAGAATAAAACTCACACAAAAACTTAAAGCAAACATGGCCTTTAACACGAGCGACTGATAGTGAATACAAGAAATAATGCTGGTTTTTACCCTTGGGTCATCACTTTGAACAGGCGACAGAAACATGCAAATCAGGAGTTTTACCCATTGTAATCAACCCGACCAACAACACTTTCACAGCCTTGTTCGTTTTTTTATTTCTAGTTTAATCGGGAAACTGAAGAACCAGCTAATATTGTAGCAAGATTAGGGTTAGGTCAGCAAGCAGACATGATGTAATTAAGCAAAAGCAATGAAAAAGTATGTTAAAATTGAAGTTAAAATTTTTGTACAAAACTTCGCACTGTTAGTATTCCTTATTCCATGCTTCTTATTCTGTAGAGAGAGGTACTGAGCATGCGTAAATCTATAGTGATCTCAATTATTAAACGTATTTATCATTCTATAGCGTGTGAGGGATTTCTGTTATGCTTTTTTATATCTAACTGATGTTAACTTGTTGGTGAATATTTATTTTTTCTGTTACAAGTTCTGCTATCGGCCGTAATGAAAGAAATAATAAAATCTCACAGAATTATTATTATTGTTGTTTATATTAGTGAAATATCAGGTTTCTTTTAGTGCTGGCATTAATGATTTGGATATTGTGTTTGTAGATCAACAAATGATTGGATTGATTGTTGTTAAGCGCAAAGATAAACATTGAGCTATCCGTGTTCTATCAATCGTGGGTATCGAATCCAGATTTATAGCGTTATAAGTCTTCAGACTTCCAGCTGAGCCACCGGGGGATGGTGGTTCAGCATGCGCTAGAGTTTGTTATATATGTTAGCGGGTTATCACATTTTCCAGCGGTGATAAGTCTTGGACAATCGCTTACCTACAGAAGTAGTGAATTTATTTTGATTTAAGTCATCTGACATAAACTATAGGGCGTCATTAATTTAGTAGACAGATTAAAAGTAGACATTTGTAAAACCTAAGCACATCAGGCATAACACTAGTTAGATGTAAAGGTGCCCGAGATTGAGAGTAACGAACGACATGATTTAGAAGATACTAAAAACTGTCCCACCGGCTACAAAAGTTAAAAGAACAACGATAGTTTAGTTTCTATGTACGTATGAATCAACTGGGCAAGTCAAACCTGCTAATTCTTATCGCGTCCTGGCACATAGAAACTAACGGGTTATGGGCATAAAAAACAACAACAACAAAACTTGCCAGCGTTTAAGCTTAAGTCTTTGAAATAACTTTGGGTGTTGACAGAGAAAATAACAATAAAAAATCCTTACTCAACTTTCTTCAAAAACATTCAAAAGCATTAAACTAGAGACGCACGGTCGTTTAAACTTCTCGTGAAATTTCTTTGTTTATTTGTTGTTAGGCACGAAACTACATAAGGGGCTATTGTGCTCTGCTCACCGCAGGTATCGAAACCTGAGTTTTGTTAGCATTATCAGCCCTCAGACTTTCCGCTGAGCCATCATGGGGGAGTGCTATTTATTTATTGTTTGTCCTAATTAAGAAAAATGATCTACTTTTGTCTTGTTTACCTTGTATTCAAACCAAATGTTTTCTTTTCTCATTTTTTAGTTATCCTGTTTTTTTTTATTATAGCAGAATACGAGGCACATAAACGTGTGTATTGAATTCACAGGTTAGGACATTTCTTTGAAACAGAGAGTAAGAAACATTCCTGCTTAGACGCAATGTCTCATAAACTAAATTAGGCTTAACGTCTACTAGCAAACAATGACGCAAGTTCTGAGAGCTCTGTAATCCAGTTTAATGGCCAACGTAAAAATTCGGTTACAACAACCGATTCTCTCTAA